TCCGACTCTCTTTCGGCTATTTTAGTGTAATACTGAGTTACGTGCAGTTCTAATAATAGGAGTCAATTAGTAAGGTAAAGATATGCATGTACATTGCACGAAAATCCACTGTTAGTAGATAAGGGCGGTTCTTGTCATGCTTAGTTCATTTAAAATCGTGTCGGCATGCACTCATCACTTGTGTACCATGTAGCTAACAATTACTGCATCTATGGCGCAAATACTTAATTAAAAACGGTTTCTTATATACCATGTACATGTAATGTAGCGATTGAATAAGTACATATTTATAAAACTCAGATAGGATTTTAATAAGTATTTAAACTTCAAATTGGAATTGAGTTATTTAGTAGGAGTTTTCGCACAAAATTGATTTACAATGTACTTACATATGTACGTTCTATATAACTAATATCCATATAAACTATTATTTCTTCTTCTAGACCCTTTTTTCAGGCAATGTAACTAAAACAAGTCTTCCTATTATCACCCTTGCACCATGCAGAGAACTATCAATGAAGTTGATTTTCGCATCTCAGTATCAATTAATAACAGACTGGAATGCATTCATGGACTGTCTATACTTGTGTTGTACTCTGTACTTGTAATATGGGTAAAGAATATGATGTAAATAATTCGCAAAGAAAGGCAGTATGCGGCTGTACGTACATGTAAGGCACGTGTTGGCTGTGTTTTCAACGCATCTACTCAAATAGGAAAACTATTTTCTCGGAATATTGTGCTTTAAAATTGTGTGTGCAGTGCGCAAGATATGGCGAGAAATGCAAAAACCTTAATTAAACGTTCTTAGCAATGGACAGGAATAGGGCCGGTGAAATGTTAAGCAGTTTTATAGTATACTAGGAAACTAGGAAGAAATAGTTTATGTAAAGATGTGCGCGTGTTGCCGATTTGACTGCTAAGCAACTTAATGAGGACTACATACAAACAGAATAAAACAATGTTGTATACCTTCATGAAGATTTATTAATACTTGATATTAATATACTGTATTTTCTTTCTGTTGTATTATTTATCATGGAAATAGCAGAAAAATTACGGGCAATTATTTTCAGTATTCCATTTCAACTAACACAACAGTGCTGTGGATATTTTTTCCTCTAACCAGGTTTGCGTGGTAGTTAAAATCATACATAAACGAATAAAGAATGGTATAAAGCATCAAACGTCCGTAAAAAAATACTGAAGCATATTAAAGTATTTCAACAATAGTCCAAAATACTTTTGGAGGTTTAATGACATATTTTTATTCCGAAGAAGAAAGTATGAAATTTTTATTTTAAAAAAAATAAATATTAACAAATCAGATATACATATTGTGAGATCAACAGAAAAGACAAATTTTTGTTGCAAATACATTATAAATCATATATATGAAAATCAGAGATAAAGGATAGCACCGAATGTTTTATCATCAAGACAAATATAATATCTTTATACTCAAAATATATATCAAAATATATATACCAACTATCTCTGACAAAAGGACGTTAACTCTACGGGTGCTCATTTGATTGACATAGAGTTTTGTCACATGACGTTGTTACAAGCATGATGCCGATATGCTGCAAAGAGCAATGAATGTGAAGTGTTAGAAATCTATAATACACAGCTGTAGCATATTCAAAATTAAATGTAATTTATAGCCTTTTATAAGTTTTATTTATCATTAATAAATACTGGACGCTCGTAGCAATTGCGTTAGCTGCAGATCTGTAGCTCGCTGGTCCAAAAAAAAAAATTGGGATGGACGACCAGAGAGCTACAGTGCCACCCATTGAAAAAAATGTATATTTATTGCGCAAAAAAAGTTCGCTGTTTCTCAATTTATTTCTCCGTATATATCAAAGTATTACTAACCCTGTGTTTCTAGCATATTCTTTTACTACTTCCACAACAAAACTGTATGTAAAAGTCATGTACGAAGTGCGTTTGACCGAATTGTCTTGCCACCCAAGATGGCGGTATAGGTAGATGAACTTTTCGATGGTCTCAATTTCAGACCCCGCAGGTCTATTAAGAACGACTGTGGGAAATGTTTTGTTGTGGAAGTAGTGAAAAAATATGCTAGGAACATATTTTGAGATGACAGTTTAAATATACGGAGAAATAAATCGAGAAACAGCGCACAAAAATGAGAGGGATTTCAGCGACATTTTCAAGTGTTCAATATTATTTAGACATATACATTTTCCAGCAAATGTATAGCTACATTTATAGTCTTAAGTTGGTCGGAAAACTCGTCGACCATCCCCCTCCAATAGATTGTGATTTATACGCCAATCTACCTCTTATAGACTCCTATAAGGAGATGGAGAAAGAAAATATTTTTACATGTTTTTTTCCTTTTTTTTTTTAAATTAGGTTTGAGAAATACATAGCAGTTTGGAATAAATATCTGTCATTTAATTTGTATATATTGTTTTTTTTTTAAAAAAACGAAGAAATATTTTCTTGCAATTTCATGCATGTGAAATTGATTGATCTTTTGACAGAAGAAGAAAATATAGAATGCTTAAAATGAAAAGGCATAAGACAATGTTTAATTTCATAACCCAACGTTAAATTTTCATGACTCACATGTATGTATCAAACAACTGTGCTCACCCTAGCGCAGCCGCACCGTCAAAATATTGCTTAAATTCCAATACAACAGGCAATTTAAATTCAAAATAATTCTGATGAATTTCAAATTGCAATATGCTTAGCGCTTCCCAGTACTTTCAGTACTTTGATTTTTATTTGGATTGGAAAAACCAGACAAGCGAAATGCTTGTATAACAAATAACATTCCGTTCAAAACTTACAAAACGAAATTTACACGTTTCTTAACGCACAATCACACACGATTAAAACCGCTTGAGTCTGATACCCGCACGATCTCGCACGTTACACGAACGATTCTACACGATTGGTTTGTCAACAATAACGTTGCAGCCACTGTAGCTCCTCGATTATAGTAGTATGTTTGACGTTCCTTGCGTTCATAGAGCCTTTCCCTGATGCGGTCAGCATAACGTGGTCTGACTAGATGTTCAGCTATTGGTACACTGCATGAAAATTTGGCTTTACAAAACAAGTAAAGATTATGTAAATTTAATATTTACAATACCTTTAATTGGCTTTTCTGAAAAAAGTCAAAGTTGGAAAAGGTAACCTTTACATTAACTTTACATGCACTTAAGGCAGAATAACACAGTGATATTTTTGATACCAGTACCTCTCAAATGTAAAGAACCATTAACAACATTCAAAAAATGCAGATATTTTTCCTTCATTTTTGAACAAGTTTTTTGTATTATTGAAACAAATTTTTTCAATTTTCAATTTGTTTTCTTTCATTTCATTTCCTTTTCAGTTGAAACATTCCAGTTTATTATTCAAGAGATGAAATAAAAAATAATTTTGATTTTCATCACACATTTTTTATTATTTCTGAAAAAGTGATTTTTTAATATTCAAGTTCTATTTCCTGAAAACCGGTGGTTAAAACTGTACCAAAATCTATAATAGAAAATACACATGATTATCAATGACATGCAAATGAAAAATTGAAAGAAATTTTGATAAAGAAAAGTATAAAAAATTTCATCAAAAATGTTGGTTCAGAAGATCTGGTTTGAAGAGTTATCTTTCTTAATATGGTAGGGCCTAAATAAACTGGTACTTTTATCTGAAAATTTTACATATAGATAATTTTTTATGAACTAAAAATATTTTTTGCCTAAGAAGATGAAGTTATTAATAGATATATACATAAAAAAAGTATGCAGTGCTACATATCTGGCAAATGGATAAGAAAATATGCTTACAGGTTTTAGTGCGAAAAGAAGCAATTATACATGTATTTAAATGAAGCAGTAGAATGAGGAAAAAATGCACATAATGATATAAAGCAATACACAGTGAACATCATGTAAAACACACAACAGTAGTAGCAAGGGTTTGAGAGATTGAGAAAAAGAAAGATGCACAAACAACAGGTAGACAAACATATACAAAACAAAATAAACATTTAAAACTAAAATGAAAGAAAACATACAAAAACAAAAAAGAGAACGTCACAAAAAAATTATGCACTAAAATAATAGGTAAAAAGCTTACCAAACACACACTCAAAACATGCAGATGGCATCAATAAAGTGACTAAAAATAAAATATAGTAATAGAGTATTTACACACTTCATCGGAGTTTCACAGAAAACACATTAGCATCTTTAAATTAATAAAGTATCAATACTTACAGTTGAAGCCATTCCTAATGTTAAATGCAAGGGAGAAAAGTCAAAATATTCAGGTTATTTTCATGAAATCAAATTTCAATCATATTGAACAATTTTATATCAAATACAAAAGTTATACTTGTAATTGATAAGCTTTATGTACTGAAGTGGGTGATAATTTTTGAAACAATTGATTTATTTTTTGTAACTTTAACATTTCCATCTGACTGCTTCTCTGAAAGAATATTTTCAAGGCCCTCTGCTCCTCCCCTGTCAAAAGCAAGTTTCAGATGACTGTATGCTAAACCGGACTGTGCAATCTTTTTAATCATATAATTCGAAAGACATGAAACCAATGGCTGCAAAGTATTCAAACATTCAGTGGTCTTTGATTTGTATTCAATTGATGAAGAAATAAAATCAACACTGAAACTATGTTTCAACAATATTTCAGATGATAAGGCATGATGCTTTACCAATGATTGTAAAATCTTGACATCTTCAACAGCTGAATGTGCATTGTATGACACAGACATTGTATCTAGCACCAGTGATTCTAGTCTGTATGTGTCCCTCTTTGGAAGAACTTCTCTAAATACATGTAGAGTATCTACAAAACCTTCAATGGGTAATGATCCACATGCTGGGTGATTTGATAATGTCTTAATCAATATCACAGAATCAAATGCCTTTCCATTGTGGCACACAATTTAAATTCATTAAGGCAAGTCTCGATTTCAACACTCTGTACCTTTTCTTTGTGGCAAAAAAGTTCTCCTCCTATAACATGAAGGCCTGTTACTGCTGTTGCAGATGTTGTGATGGCACAGCTTGGTAGGACATATCTGTTAAAGATGTTGTCACCAGAAACACAGGCTAGCTGCACAATCTCTGCAGAGGTACCTAACATGAACACAATATCAACATTTATTGTAATAAAATGGAGTACATGATATAAAAAAATATTATAAAGTGAACATGATACAATGTAATCGGAACACACTGTAATAGTGTGTTTGCATTGTTTTCATAATATACTTACCTAAACCTGTAGTCTCTAGATCAAAAAATAAAAAAAGTATTCTCATCATTTGATAAAGAAGATGAAGCAGGTGGCAATGTCCTGTCTGGTATTTCCTGCAGGTGATCAGGTTGTAAAGTGCCAGCCAGATCTATTGCCGACTCGTATGTTGTCCCCTCCTTAATCTCAGAAGATGATACCTGTTGAATAGTAAACACATACAGAATTGTACAAAACTTTCAAAATCATAAATTATTAAAGGGTAGTTTAAATTATCAAAATATGTGCAATCCAATTCAAATACCTGTTTATTTGCTGTACATTTGCGTTCCCTTCTACTTTTCTTACACTCCACACTGCTTTTCACAATCTTCTGATAATCTCTTTTCCTGGAAGCTTTACTTATGTAAGAATTGGTGTGCTTTCTAGGAGAAAGAAGCAAGTTTTCATACACCTGAAAGTGTTTATGAGATTATATTATAGATAATAAAATGTATATTTCTTATATAGATAATTATATATATACAACAAAATGAGTTGGAAATGTTAATTGCCAATTAAATAAATACAAACCCTTGTTAATGTTTGAAGACCTATGTTTTTATGAGCCACAGCTGCAGCAGCTCTAAATGATGTGGACTCGGATGCACTGTAAAAGTTTGTCTTTGGGTTTTTGGTGGCTACAGTGTGGTTAAAACTTTCATTGGTCTGGGTGCTACCCACTTTTAACAGTTTCTCAGAATTTGCAGCATATTCTTCAAACATTGTCTTCAGATCTAACTGTAGATTATTTACCGTATGGCAAACTCGTTGGTTTATATGTGGACGGATTTTTCACGAATCTGCAAGAGGAAAACAACTACACTGAAAACAAATGACTTATTTTTTTAAAAAATATTGTGCATCATTCTTTAGAAATTTTACTAAAACACTTACCCATACCATTCAGAACATCTTGAATGATCACCAAAAACATGTCGAGGAATGGCCTCCAAAGCTTTTCTTCATGCTGGCAGCATCTTCACTTCCCTTAACAGCATAGGCAAAGCATTTTGTAAGGTGATTAATTGCTTTTGGTCCAAGATTATTATATTTTTTTTCCTTTCTGAGTGAATAAAGCTTGTTTGTGACATTTTTTTTGGTATGGTTGAAATCTGAGAATTTTTCTAGTGATTCATCAAATGATGCCCGAGCCCTACAAGTATGTTAAAAATTAATTAGCAATTAATAAACCGTAAATACAGTAATTCTCAATTCAGTATGAAATGTACAACTTTTATAACATAAAATTATTACCTTGAGATAGTAGTAGTATCATTATCCATGATTATTTTTTTCACATGGAATCCCTTGGATTTTAAATCACTGAGCATTTCCACTGCCATATCTGACTCCATTGCTTTGGAGGATTTTGCCCAATTTTTCCTACAGTCATGTTCATTAGGATTTTCCTTGTCCACAGCCCTGTCGCAAAATCTACATTTTTTACAACGTACAGCGTAACTTAAGACTTTTCCTGTGTTAACGCCTATCATACTTCCATGACCTGAAATTTAAAAACACTGTGTTTAACTAAATTTATATAAACATGTATAACATCAATATTGTAGTAAAAGTTGCAATAAAATAAGTATTTTAAATACACACCAGATAAGCTAGCATAGTTCCTACCACTTCCTCTGGTTTGCCAGTCAGCATCGAAGGAAACAGCCTGGTCATCTTGACTTTGACAGCTGCGAATGCAAATAAACAAGCATAACTTACTCTCAAATAAAACAGAAAAGGAAATAATATACATGTTGGTTCATTACAAAGTATAAAATGATGTAAATTATGCTATAATTATACATGTTCTTACTTTGGTACCAAAATACTATTGATATAAATTCTTCACCTTCTAATTTCAGCTGCAATTGCATCACTACATGTTTCACTGGCAACTGCTTCAAATGCAGATCCTGCCTCCCCTTCCCTTCTCTTTAGGATGGTTGGGGATATGCTAGGAAGGTTCAATGCAGCCAGTAAATTGTTGACAACACTCTCCCCAATACCACGGATATCATTGCTGAAGTTTATTTATAAATTATTAAACTATGTCAGTATATAAACATGTATTATTAGTCAGTTCAGAGTGAACTGTTATGTTTCATAGAGAAGCTAAAATCAATCTAATTGCAATTATTCAAAAAGATTAATTATTTATGAACTGACCTGCTCCTAATTTTGAGTTAACATCCCATATGTTGTTGGCATGACGTTTTCCAGTGGGCACATAGTTTATTCTGTGACAATTACAACATTTTATGTGGAGAAGACTCCCTGAAATTCAGTATAAAGAATTACAAGATATTCAGTCTAATCAAATGTTTACACAAAACACAGTAATAAGTCAAGAGTTACATACATGTGAAAAGCATACATACGAGGGGTTATCAAAAAGTTCGTGGACTGACGCGATAAAATTAATAATATGTAGTCTTTGCTTACAAAATTTATGCGGAACATAAAACAACAAAAGTTTAAGAAATGTTAATAATGAAAATTTTAGCTTGATAAGTTGATAATTTGCCAAATTATTCTAAAATTAAAAAGACTTTATGTGATCACCCGGCGCTGTCGCCGTTTAGTGTCATGACGTCCGCTTAACGTCATTGTTTCTTAATGTCCGCTCTCTCTACCTCATACACTTATCTTGATGAGATTACCTGGAGTTAAGTTAGGACTTAAACCCGTCTTATTTATATGAATTTACAATGTCATGAGCAGCTGTTTTCAATGCATATAATATTGTAAATGGATCTTTATATGGGGAAAGATCCTCACTTGATTATGCCAGAATACTTAGCTTGTTGGAGTTCAATTTCTACCACACATGATCAACGTCACTTTTCGACGTGACTGACTTTTGACACCCTGACTACAAATCGACACTAGCTGTGCATATTTCATCTCTTTGAATCTTTTTAGGCATTAAAAAACAAGTACTCTGGATGCATTTTATTTTTCTGTAGCCAGTTTAAACATTCCTTAGGTCAATACCAGTTTTTCCAGGACCGAAACTCTATAGAGTGTTTGAAAAAGAAACCCCTCCCCCCTTTTGACGTTATTTTCAAGCCCATAATTGTTTGGACACTCCATATAAAATTTACGATAAAATTTCATAGAAATTACAGAATGGGGTAAAAATTCCAAATTTTACTGAACAAATGTGTCATACCACATGCCTGAATTAACGAGATTTTCTGATGACAAATACTCATATCTAAAGAGTTTTTCTCAGTTACACTCAGGTAGGAAAAAACGTCATATTAGAGGTTGCGCCGCCTGGACATACCTTTGCTTACAAAAACACTAACATTTTATTAAAAAAATAAAAATTATGATTTATGGTTTATTCTATAGATAGAAAGGATGATGCTAACTAAATGTGTAAAAATTCATTGATGTACCTAAAGCGGTTTTAATTTTATCACGCTAGTCCACGAACTTTTTGATAACCCCTCGTATATGATGAAACTTAATGCCAAAAAAAAAAAATCCTCACCAAGGCCACATCTTCTTTCTCCAATGTATGATGACAAATGTAATGCCTGTCCACAGTTTGAGCACCTTTAATAATAAAAATAATATATGTGTGATAAATTTTAAGATGTACTTCATTTTGACATTTTTTAATTGTAAAACCAAACTTATATAAAACTGTTCGATTATAAATGTACATACCCTTTCTCCAGTCATTCTGCCAAAACATCGAGTTCAACAATATGCCTCCCTTGTACCGACTGTTCTGTGTTGTATATACAGGAGTCTTCATCTTCACACTCATCTGATTCGGAATCGTTTTCATCTATGTTTTCATCTATGCACATCTCACAATCATCTTAAAGTTTAAATATTAATTTCATTACATAATTCCCAGATTGAGTACAACTCTGCAATATTCAGATTACTTCAATAACTCATTTTAATATACTTTATATACCTGAAGTAGATGAACATGTCAATAAATTTAAGTAGGAATGGTCATATCCTATGGGCCTACATGTATCTTCTTGTTGGGACGGAATCGTTTTCAGTTTTCCTTCAAACTGGCCATGCCAATTTCTTTTTCGTTCTATGAAAGAAGTCAAGTTGAATTGACAAGTTTGTCTGAACAGTAAGTATATTAAAACATTTATCAATGGTGACAGAAAGCTTGCACCGTGATCAAGTGATATGTTGGGCATACGTATATAAATTATCTTACCTTCATTACTTTCATGCGTGTAGAAATGGTCATGTTCAATGACTTCAACCAAAGACAAAGCATATCTGCGATCACTATTCATTTTCTCTCCTTTCCGCTATCGTATAACATTTACACTGAACATCAATTCATTATGCCGGTTTCTAACCGGTTATTTACATACTGGTTATTTCAGCGCTTAATTCTTGGTCGATATTATCGTCACATAAAGCGTTTAAAAGACCTGTATATTAAAATTATCTTTCTTACAAAAGAGTTCCATTTTCGGGTTCCTGTTTAATTCGCTACATGTAAAATTCTCGTTTTCGCCGGAAGAAGCTAGAGTTTCACCGGAAATGCAGCCATGACGTTGTAGCATTCGTCCTTAAAGTATGGCGCCACCCATGAACCATCACAAAACAAATGAATTATGAATCAACAAGTATCAATTTAACTGTGTTTAAAATTTCATCATGGTTCAAGTTTGGCGCCTACAAAAAATCATTTAAAAATGTCTAGAATTTCTGGGAGATTGGTATTATTTGCAGTACTATATCCGGTTTTGACGTTTATTATAACGCACGTGTCATTTCCTTTCCAAAAGTCGAAACGGAATTTATAAGTTCAACATCTAATAAAAATTTGACAAGAGTTTCGCTGCATAATAATGAAGTTTGATTTTCAGGAATTGACAGCGCCGAAATATGCAGATTTGGGCTTTCGTTCTTGACTCATGCCTCCGACTAATTTAGAAGTTTCTTCAATCCATTCAGTGCGAAAGGACTTGTCTGATCCCTTTAAAAGTTATCACCCCTTTTACCATAAACCTTGTCGCTACTTTTCCAAAACCACAAACCTGTAGATACCAAACTTTCACCAGTGTCTTTGACTAATTTAGAACACTCATCAATCTATTCTTGGATTCTTCAATCCCTTTCACAGTTATCGCCCCTGAATTTTTTTCTGTTTACGTTCATGTTTTTTTTAAACGATGAATCGTAGAGCCGAGGGACTAACTTCAACCTTTGACTTCGAAATTTGTATGTAAAAAAAAATATCAATTACCCAAATGACCTTGAAATTTGACCTTGACTATTGACCAAAGAAACAGAAGTTAAATTAAAGATATGCAACTAAATCCAGATATCAGTTTGTCTCAGTCTCGATAATAAAAAAGTAATTACATTTAATACATATATTTAAAAAAACATGACCTTGACATTTGATCTGAATCCAAAATTTACCCAAGGTAAGGGACGTGGAGTAAGATACAACACCCAGTTATTCATTGTTTAGCCCCCCCCCCCCTTTAAAAAACAGCAGCAACGTAGAATATTTCTCTCAAACTTAAACCACACCTCGGATCGATATAGCCCCAACAAAAATTTACTATAGTTAACTATAGTGAAAACTTTGGTACTTTGATTTACTATGAGACTTTACTCTGGAACTTTTTTTTAAGATTTCAAATCTTAAAATCTCTAAAATTCGATCATAGTAATTTAAAATTTGGAAATAATGCAAATAATATTTCAATTTCGTATAAAAAAAATGTGCAGGTATGAATTGAAGAACAAAAAATATAACGATCTAAAATCGATAGTATAAATACTTTGATTTACTATAGTGAAAAAACTTTCATACTATAGTAAACTATAGTTAACTATAGAACTTTTTTGTTAGGGAAAATTTCATAGAAATGTAAAAAAGATCTAAAAGAAACTTTCTTGAAAGTTTTACAGTGAGTCTCTGTAGTACATGTGTATAGAAATTATGAATTTTGACGGCAAAAGCTACAAATTTTATCTTGTTTGAAATTTGGGTGCAGAGAAACAGGCACAGATATAAACCTTGCCTCGTCTATTTCCTCAGATGTCGTTAATAGCATTCAATTCGCCTGATATAATATGATATTTAAATTCCAGACATTCTTCATTTCTTTTTGCTTTTGAATTTATTTGATTTTTTTTAAATAATTCAACAGTCCCTAGAAAAAGAAACTTTCGGTATACTAAAAATCAATGCACGTTTCATTGCCGTGTTTTCCTTCCAGAAGTACATCTATGCTTATTACATTATCTTCAATCCACGCAAGTGCTATTTTAAAAATTACATATTTATTTCAGGATATTTGGTCAGGTATTTAAAATCCGAAGCCGACCTTCTAAGTTTTTTATGTCTCCATGTTTACCAACTATCAGGCGTCTATATAGCTTATGTTTACATACGCTTAAAACTGATAATTTTAATTCATTTTAAAGATATAAGAAATTAACTAAGAAGTTGTTTTTTTTCT